TAGGGTCGTGGAACTAAGTTGGCTCTCAGAGAAAAAGCAGTGACAGTTCTTACAAAGCAAATAATTCTTACGTGTCCTAACAGAGTGAGTGTATGCTAGAATTTATTCTTCTTCACTTGCAGTTGCTACTCACAAATCATTGTATTCTAAGACGCATGTAGTAAGTCCTTGGTTAACTATAAATGATGCTCTGTAAAGCCGGTGAAGGAACTAGGAATGTGATAAGGCTTGCAGATTTTTCTCTGAATAATCTAACCAGAATTAGCATGTCAGGACAAACAGAAACACTGAGCAGATGGCTCCCACATAATTTCAGCTAGGTAGAGCTGCAGATGATTGCCTTGTATCTACCTAGACATTAAATGTTACTTTAGGTCTGTCTGATGGTTGGTATTTCCAAAGGCACCCATGAGTATATAACATCTGAGGTCTCAAAGAGCTTGAAAAAGTTAATCATCCAACTCACTGTTGCTTCATTTCACAATGGCTTTGGCTCAATACTATGTCAAAATACTCTGAAGTGCCAAAAGCTCATTTTCCTAGGCAAGCTAAATCTACTGTGCTGTACCAACTTCCTTCCTTCAATACAATGGGGAACCATGTAAAAGAAGAGACTACATTTTTCAAACAGTAAGTTGCTCCTCAGTGCCCAGAGAAACACAAAGTTAATTTTACAGTTACCATACTGGATTTCTGACTATTTCACCTAAAAAAGGAACAGAATGAGCAGCACTAAAAGAAATCCTCCCCCTCTACTCTGCCCTGGTGAGACCGCATCTGGAGTACTGTGTCCAGTTCTGGGCGCCCCAGTTCAAGAAGGACAGGGAACTGCTGGAGAGGGTCCAGCAAAGGGCAACGAAGATGATTAGGGGATTGGAACATCTCTCCTATGGAGAAAGGCTGAGGGACTTGGGTCTCTTTAGTCTAGAGAAAAGAAGCTTGAGGGGGGATCTTATTAATACATACAAATACTTAATGGGAGGATGCCAGGGGGATGGGAGCAGTCTTTTTTCAGTGGCGCCCAGTGATAGGACGAGGGGTAATGGACATAAACTTGAACATAGGAAGTTCCATCTTAACATGAGAAGGAACTTCTTTACTTTGAGGGTAGCGGAGCACTGGAACAGGCTGCCCAGAGAGGTGGTGGAGTCTCCCACTCTGGAGACATTCAAAACCCGCCTGGACGCTGTCCTGTGCAACGTGCTGTAGGTGACCCTGCTCTGGCAGGGGGGTTGGACTAGATGATCTCCAGAGGTCCCTTCCAACCCTAACCATTCTGTGAATTCTGTGAAAAAAAAATAATCATGTTTAAAGGCAGTAGGTAGATAAATTAAATTCCTTTCCAAAAATCATTCCTCATAGTGAAAGCTATGTAATCACTCAATATCTTTTCAGTAATAAAAATACTACAAAAGCAGGTGTTATGCATAATTCACTTTAAGTTTCATTAAAACTGAATGAAAAACAACAACAAAACCAGAAAAACATAACTGCTTCAACTGAAGCAGCAGTCACTTTGTCCAGGGCTAAATTTTCTGTAAAAAAGCAAAACCTGCTTTCATTTACATCTTTGCGCCTCTACTGATGTTCACTGAGGCTGAAGATAAGAGTTAGCTACAGAATATGATTTGGAGATTATGTGTAAAGGATCTGCACTCCACCTTTCCCGCCAGCAGGTTTTTTTGAAACTTTTAATTACAGTAACACTTTGTCCTTCATCACCCTGACATTGATATCCCCAAGAATAAGAAAATGAGATGGATGAGAGCTGATCACAAGTTCTACTACAGTAAGCAAATTTTAAAAGATGAGTCCTCATAAGAACTCTTCAATCATACCCAGGATCTTCCCATTTCCTTTAGGAAAGGCCTGAATCTTACTAAGAGGTGCTCAGCTCTGCCACTAGTATTTATAATTTGAGTCTCAATGTTTTCCTAAGATGTCAGCATTTTCTTATTATACCTATAGGGGGTATTTGCGTTATGCTTAGTGTGAGGCATTTACATCATCTATATCTGAGTTAGGAAATAGAAACAGCATTATATGTGGAATCACGTCTGGTATGTATTCTTTAGGCAAATAGACAGATGGCATTGATGTAGAAACTGAAGTGAGCATCTAGACCAAAACAAAGATGTATTGTGTATACGAAATGCCCCAGTGGATTGACGTATGAAGGGAAACCTCATGACCTATCAAAATTAGAATCTCAGACTGCAAGAGCGAAGGTAGGAGAGGTGATCAAAATTCTCTAGTTGCTAGGCATTTTATGGAAAGAGGCCACATTCACTCATCTTATTAAAATTCATGGAAATTGAAAATATCCAAAAGCCCAGGAGGGGTGGGGTCAGAAAACCTACTTCACAGAACTGGGAAGCTTACTCTAAATTCACCTTAAAAGCACTTTCCCCATCACAGATTTCCTGAGAGCCTTTTGATTTCTCTCCTACTTAGGAGGTAATTATAGAACTTTTTATCCTCCCTGACTAATGCATACAGAAAGGGGTCACTTCAGCATTTTATCCAGATTATCATGGTTTGTTCTCAACTAGATCTTTGTTGGATGTTTTTTTCTCCTTTGCTCTCTCTCCAATTCATCTAAGCAATCCTTATTTTTATTTCCTTCTGTTTCTCATGATATCAAATGACACAGCCAGAGGATGAGATATAGCTGTTTTAGTATTAAATATTGTTGAACTCTGCACTCCTATTTTCTTCTTTTTCTTTGCTTTCTCCTTTAATTTTACATTTATTGTTGTCAGAAAACAATGACACTTAGGCATGGGGATGATGGAGGAGGGACATTAATCAAAGGCTATATAGCGCCTTCCTCTCGGGGATAAAACTTCTAAAAGGAAGAATCTGACTTTATGAGTTTAAATTGCCAGTGCTGGATACTTGGCTAATGTGGCCCTCACAGCTTCTGCTGCTTGTAATTTCTTGTACAAAGTATCACTAAGAGGAAGATGCAATGGGAAATTCCACACCACCCTATTTCCAAATCAGGAAATTCTGTCTCCTTGAAACACTACTGCAATAGTATAATGGTATTGCTCCATGCTTGGGCACCTCCTTTGCCTTCGGAACTTATTAAGTTTAAGACTTACTATAGCTAATAAGCACAGTGTTTTCAAGACTAAACCAAGACTGAGCCATCATTTAACAACTCAAGCAACGCAGTTTTAGGCACGTTAGAAGTAGAGCCAAGACTCCTAGGTTGTTTGGGGTTTTTTTTTGCTAGTAGCTCAGCTTTATTCTTAAAAAAAAAAGCTGGGACAGGGTAGTGCTTTTTTATTTTTTTTAAACTGCTTTTCTAGTATTGGATAAAAACTATAGAACATGAACAGCAGCAGTACTGCAGCAAACGGCTTGCTAAGTATATCCCAAAGATTTAGCATTCCAAATAGAACTAGCAGGCTTCTGCATAACTCCTCTCGTGTTTTTGCAAGTGATATCGATGGTCAATAACAGACCAATAGTATTTCCCCCGAGTTCCCCAATCATACATAACTGGTAATAAAGAGAAAAATGAAATGTTCTTTCATGAAGAAGCTTTCAGTATTTCTGTATTAACAAAAAATATAAGAATAAAGACTTTCTACAAAGCCGTCAGAAAGGTGGGCCACTTTGGAAACAAACAGGCACAGATGTGACTAAATCAACCAAATCACATGTTGTCAAAAGATTTTCCCTTCAAGGTAGTAAGAACAGATTTTTCCTCAGCCTACCTGTCCTGCTTTATATATCATTCACTCAGCCAGCTGTATAGTCCTTTCCCATTCCCCTGAGACAAATTCTTCATGATTTCAATAGCAGTTGTTGAAGAAGCTTTTCTACATCTAACATAAACACTACGGGTTATAAGTATTTTTATATACATAAGTGGCCTTAAGAGAGAAACTTTTTATATTACCAAACTTAAGAACAAGCTTCCCCCCAACCCTGATTAACAATATTCATACCACCAAGCCCTAAGGAATCTAAAGCAGCATCCAATGTTTTTCTTGTCACTCTTGTCTGTCCCTCTGAATTTAATTTCTCCCTCTTTCAGAATCCTATCCGGCACAGGGAGGAGGCTTTTTCAATAAATCAATACTCCAATAAAAAATGACTGCCTCTATGTACTCCACATATTAAGCGAGTTTTTCTTATATAGATAAAACCATTCACCTTATGCTCAATATTGACATTCATTTTTAATAACAGACTTTAATAAAAGAAACACCTGGCAAAAATGTGACTCTAAAATAGCACAATGTTAAATCTTGTCTGCTTTGACAATATTTTTCTGATGAGGCATAATAGCTAATCAATTTAATTTGGTTTCAGAAAGGATGATAACATTTTGCTGTTTTCAAAGTATACTTTTGAAAAAGATTAACCATCTGAAAAAGTTGCTATGAGGACAGGCATGTTAAGTAATAGCTATCATTTTTTGTCAACAAAATAGAAGGCTACTGTGTTCAGCAAGAATGAAATTAGCAGCTCATCCATGAAAAATGTAAAAGATGACACCAAATTATATGCTTTTTGCTAAAATTATTATAGCATAAATATCCCTGTAGCACCTACATGGAAAACAATACATACATGATAAAATGGCTCCCCAGCTCATATACACACAAAGAACAAGTCACTTTCCAAAATGTGATGTTTAAGAGCAGAATTTTCAAATCTACTGTCATGTCTCACATTTACTCCATGAAATTAATAAAAAGAAAAGGCGGGGAAAGGAAAGCCAAAGCACAAGAGAGTAGTGAGGAATACCAACAACCAAAAAATATCTGCATGCTCTGACAACTACTGTCATCCCAAATGGGCTTTGCTAATCCAGGGACACGCCTCCTGACAGCAATTGTGAATTGAATCATTACGTTTTAAGCTAAGCTCTGTTCTATCCTCACAAAAGCAACACTCAAGAGTTGTACAAGGTGTACAGTCCCTAAAAACACAATCAGCATCACTACAGCGTATGCTTCCATTTTACACCAATCACTTACCCAGACATTTCCATCCTGGTGGTATGGTTTCCAGTTTCTCCCTGTATCGCTATAGAGCATCCGATACTGAGTGACCCAGTCAGAACTGCTATACCTGCCTTGAGTCGCAATAGCACTGATCTGCTTCCTGTTCCCAAAATCCACCTGCAGCCATTGGTAATGATCACTGTCTGATGGAGACCAACCTCCTGCACCTGTTGGGTTGAAACAGAGCAGAGAGATTTAAACCTCAAACACTCACTTTGAAGTGAACACATTGTGAAGATGCTGACGGCTGGAAGGCAGCCCAGCTGAGAGGAGTATAATACCAAAAAAACCTGAACATACACAAGAGAAATATGATTGCACCGTTTTTAAAAAAAATGCATCTTTAACACAGGCTTCAAATGCATTAACTCTGTTGTCTTAATCATTTTATGATATAATTATAATGATTTAATGGGCTGCCTGCTAACAAATCAATGCTTTTATAATGCCTTAATTACAGTTTATTAGTTTTTGCCAAATTATAATTGTTCAAGGGTTGACCAATTTGCCATGAAATCCTTTGTCAGAGTAAGTTGGCACAAATCAATAACAATCTTTGGATTTTGCATGCCTTTTCAATAGCATTTCATGTAAAGAGATAATATAGATAAAACGGGAGGAAATAAAAGCAAGCTCTCTGCTTTCCTATGTTTCACTATAGTGCACAAACTGAAAGATCTACCAGAATTGAAAAAGCAGGTACTGCAGGGCTGGAACCAGTTTTGATCTGCTGGGTGTACAAGCTGTCACAGATTACATTGGCAGATGCCTCACAGAAGTGTTATTGCTCTTTATGGGTCTATGAATTAACTTGATAGTAATACTATTAAGAATATTCTTCTCAGCCACTAGACTACATTGAACTGTTCTAAATACAGAAGGCCAATGATACATAATGTAATATTAAGACATTAATGCAATACCATATTCTTCTGAAAGAAAAAACATTGAGGAGAAAATTGTAGTTGGATACTGCAGACAATGATAAAAAATTTAAGATAGACATCATAATGATATATTTAGCATAATAATAAGTATTAGGCAATAAATGAAACAAAAACAATTATCTATCAATACAGAGAAAAGGTGGAGGGAGAATAATTCTTTTTATATTCATAGCAGATATTAAGATGCAGGAAACAAAAACTTCACAGACTTCAAATAATTACAGGTTGGGGTTTTTTTTCTTTTATTTTAAGTTTGGAACAAATAAATGGCCTGGCACACCAAGAAATCACATAGTCTAGTCCATGGGCCAGTTTTTACTGCTTTTAATTTCACTTATAGATTTCAACTGATGTCACAAACCTAGCCTGATTGCCAAGTGAGAAACTCTTTGTTATACTGCATCTTATATACTCCCATCATTAGGCGGCAGCATTGCCTCAGTCTTAGACAATTCTAAAACTCATTCAGCTGCTACAGGTGTTAACATTTGCAGGTCGTAGGACATTTTAATGTTGTGATATCAGTGAGATCATTTGATGTCATAAGTGGTTGCCTTTCAATGTAATTAAAAACATAGCACTACGCCAATGACATCTAATTTTTTAACATTTTTAAGATTTACAATAGATACTTTGTCCCTGCACTACAAGTAATTATACCCAGCACTATAAACAGGATACTTTAGGGATAGGGAACAGTTAAATGCTTTTTTTAAAAAAAAAAAAAAAAAAAACAAAAGAAAACAAAACCCAAACCACCCTTATTGAAAGCACTTGCAGGGAAATGTATTCCCAGACATTCCCAAATTCAAACTAGCTCTGTTTTTGCAGAGAATGATAACTGGTCATTTCAAAATAGAATATAGCTTCTTCATGAATACTATGCAACAAGATTGGAACAGGTAGCTCTACAAACGTGTCGTAATAGCAGAGACGCCACTTTCTCTCCCTAACCTAACAGCCCTGTCCAACTGGCATATCTGAGACTGACGACACACAAAGGATAAGAAGCTGCCCCCGTACAGAAGCCACTTTTGTAAAAGAACCCTTTGGTGGCTCCAGAAAAAGTAAGGTTCAAATGTGAGCATTCAAAAATCATTGTGAAAGACAGAGGTGATAAATCCATCAATAAAATGTCCTTCAGCAGTGCAATTCTTGAAGAAGGCTGACACACTATAGCTGTAAGAAGGCTAAAATAGACATCATGGTTTTTACACTTTTTACTTATGCAGGAGATTTACATTAAGGCAGGAGATTTCGTTCCACACGTTTAAAAGAAAAGACTTTTAATGATAACACGGTACAACTTTTTTTTTAGTACATTAGTATTACTGAGACGAGACTTCAACTTCTTCAACTGATAAACATAATAATTGTAAATTGCAACTAGGTCTCAGAAAGTCTTTACCTACAAATCCATTGAAAAGTTTGGAAAAATTGAATGCTAACATGCATTTCCCCATTTTTTTTGATGTAAGAAGAGGTGGAAAACATTCTTCACCTCATGCCTGACAAAAGTTAAAGATATGTGACACAATAGTCACACTTAGGCCAGGAGATAGAAACACGAGTACTGCAAGACAGCCTGCCCCATAACCATCTCTAATAAGCGAGACAAGACTTCTAGTCAATATTGCAGACAGCAGCAAACAATATTATCCCATTGGTTTCTTGACCTAATTCTCTATCTCGTTTTCACATTTGCCTTCCAGCTTTTCCAAGCAAATAAATATATAAATAAATAGCCAAAAGGGTGAAGGAGAAACACGTTGGATTACATCTAAATGGGCTGCTTAGCAGACCAGCATGGGAAGGGAATGGTGATCAGTCTGGGCAGCCGTCAGCCATTCACCAGAAACAGCCTGTGGGGATCAATTAAAAGTTTCCTCTTCCCCTTGGATTCATCAAGCTGTGTAATTTGGGGGAGGTGATTACTTTGTTCATTTTGTTTGTGATACATTTAATCCCTATTGGTTCAAGGATTAATAAAAGTCTTTCTTTTTTTTTTCAGGTGCACACTCTAAATAAATTCTGAAAAAAGTTGGATTATATAAAAATTTGCCCACTGTGAGATCCTTGGAAAGGCCCTGAATTCATCGGAGGAATTTAAGTATGTTTGTGTCTGCATTCTCTCTAAGCAGGTACAAAATTCTCACATGCCCAGAAATGTGCACGTACTCACAGGTCAGCGTATCATTCAATATTTTGCTCAATAAAACCAGCTTCTTCACTGGAATGAAGAAGTTGGTTTGATATTGAACTGGGAAGAGAGAAGTTACTGACAAATAAAATATTTAACACATTTTGCCTTTTTAAAGGAGTCGCGAATTTGGAAATCAAACCTGATTTCCACAATATGCCATTATTTTCAAAATACACTTCATTTTATGGACAGCATATTATGACAGAATAATGAATTATCTTTAAGGAATACGCAAAATGACAGCATGTTAGTAGTTTTCACTGAGCATTTCTTTGTACTAAAACTGCAATGGTATATTAGATTTGTTGAATAAATGTTATTCACAGTATTAATCTTCACACCTTGTTGTAAACTGCTTATTTTTAATGGTTACAGGCTATATTCTTTATTTTATTACATGCATTATTTGCACTTTTTATTATGGCAGAAAAAGGCATTGGATACATGGGCTTTTTATATGATACCCTGTTTTACTTCATGTACAGCCTTCTAATGTCAAATGCTACAATATACTATGAAATCATTGTGAGTTACAAATTATTAGAAAGATATTAGAACTACAAAGTATTTAAAAGATATTGAACATATGCATATAATATAGTTTACTTTCATTAAACAGGCAAGGAACATTTATGGGGTTCTTTGGTAGTAGAGGTGCAATAAATACAATTGCAGACAATATCTACTTCCTACTTTTATTTTTATGCTATTCCAGAATTCAATGTGATCAAACATATTCACCAACTCAGAGGCCAAAATAATCGACTCAGTGACATTAACCAAGAGAGTCACTGAATACTTTTATTTATACTGCACTTTATACCACAAACAGGGCAACTAATTTCTACTTGGGCAAGAATGACTGTAACCTTTGATAGAAGATGTCAGAGAACTGCAAGTTCAGCAACAGTGAAGTCAACATTGAGCACGTGGCGCACATATCTCTGTGCATCCAAGAAACTTTCCTGTGCATAAAAGCCTAAAAGTCTTAATCAGCGGAGCCAGCCAGAGCATTCCTGTGGTAAAAGGTGACTATGAAAGATTTCATAAAGCTTTACTTTCAAAACAAGATACAGAAAGTCATTTGATCTGCTCTTACTGCAGACTGACCAAACAATGTGTAATGAGTCTACTACTGAAAAAGACACTTGGTGATGCAGAAGACACATAAAACTGCATTCAGAATGCTACGAATTTGTAAAAGTTGAATATTTTCATGATTTTTCACCAAATAGAGAAAAGCATTAACAAATAGCATTAGCATCATTACAGGAGTTCGAAGTTCGAAGATCTAATTTTTTTAATTATGAAAACCACAATGGATTTCATTGGGGGTTTTATTGGATTTGATTCTACAGGTTCATTCTGTGGAACTGAAAACAGTATGAAAAACATAGCCTATCTCTAAATGACACATGCAAAAGATAGCACTTAATATATTTCTAGGACTATAAAGAATTCAAGTCAATGTTGGTCTATTTTTGCAAAATTTCATGTATAATTTCCTTTTAATTAATTATACATTTCCACTCCCTATTCAAAGTTGAGTGAGCTAGCTCCCTTTTAATGCACATGAAGAAAGCCTACGTGATGAGTTAGCCTTACTTTCTTATCATTTTCCCCTGATAAATTATCAGTAAGTAGCAAAGCTGGGGTAGGCTTACAGATTTTAGATTTTTATCTGAACAGTCATATGCTACTGAACTTACAGATCTATAAAAAGGGACACACTGATGATTTTTGAAAATGTCTGTGCCATTTCAGTTAGAAATCTCCTTTCTTTTGAAATATTTGGTACTTTACTCTGCATTCATGACTGAAACTGGAAAGATTAATTTGCACTAGAAGAATCCATTCTTGTTTTAGTCACGCTTGTTCATCATCCTCTACTTCAAATCACAAAAAAAACCCCCACCAGTACTGCAGTAAGACTAGTTTTTTGCTCTTTTCAAATCAGTAATAAAAGGTTTCAATGACATGAATGAAAGGAGGAGAGGATCCTTAGTCAGGAATTTCA